CCATAAAGTTTAAAGTTTAGTGTAGACTGGTTAAATCATCTCTAAAACATGATACGCATAAGGAAGACATGGTTTGTTTAATCTATTATGTAGATGTTTTCTAAAATATAAAAGCATAATTGTTAGCTTGTATGCATTCTCTGTAATTTCCTTCCTGTTCTATGTTATTTGGAAAAGCTTGGTTGCTTCTCCTAAATAAGCCTCCTAAGTAACCAGGACAATTGTTTTTCTTCTGGCTTTCAAGGAGCATATGAGACACCGCAAGGGTTATTTCTTCAAAACCCATATTGCCTCTCCCTCATGCTCCTCTTTTCCCTGTAAAATCAATTTTTCCTGCTCTGCTTTTAAGTAAAGAGTAACTCTCTGCCACAATTGTCATCCTTCTTTCTCCCAGTCTCTTTTTTAAGCCTTAATCATGCCTTAGACTTGTTATATTTTACCCTATCTCCACTAGTTATTTTTAACTTCTTTCCCTTCATCAATCTTCCTTAGTCTTGTTGCCCTGGCTCTTCCCCACTCAGTATGTGTTGGTCTTTTCTTCCTTCTTCTCCTCGGTGCCTTTTTCTCCACCAATCCAGAAAGGTTGCCATTTCTATGCCACATTCTCCATGAGCATTTCCCAATTCATCACCAATCATTGTTCTTCTTCATTTCTGAGTCATTTCCTTTTACATTACATTGAAAAAGTATTGGATCTTCCCTGATTTCCTCTATTTAGAAATGTTTAATTGTTTCAGACCTTTTTACAAAATGTACAAGACAAAGACAACGTATAAGATAAAGACAATCTTAGTAAACACACAATCAGTTTTTAAATTACAATATTATTTAATGAAAAAGTTTGCAAACACCAACTGGACCTATTTGAAAATGTAATTGCCCCCATGAATTTAAGTAGCATTACCTATAACGGCACTAATTGGAAATCAGCTTTTTATATCTCTCAAGGATGTTAACACACTTTTCTTTGCAGAATTGTCGTAATTCAGCAACATCGAAGGGTTTGCGAGCAGAATCTTCTTATTCAATGTCCTGAAACAATATGTCTATGGGGTTGAAGTCAGGACTTTCATTTAACCACTCTAAAATTTTCTTTTTGTGTCTTGTGAGTCAGTCTGAGGTGGACTTACTCTTGCGTTTTGAATCAATGTGTAACCCAATTACACTTCAGATTCATATCAGACACTGCTGGCTGGACATTCTCATTTAGAATGATCTAGCTGAGAGCAGAATTTTATTGCTTCCTTTAATGATGGACAGTCTTTCAGGCTCTGATGAAGCAAAACACTATAACACTACGTACTATCCCACCATGTGATATTTGCATATGATGATGTTCTTATTGTGAAATTCTATGTTTGCTTTACACCTGATGTAAAGAGACCAGTGATTTGTGACTCCTATGTACTCCAGTACTTTTTTTTTTAATTCTTTATTTTTGATGTGTAAAAATCAAGTAACAGGCAAGCTGATTATGCCACGATAGCACAGACCAGCATATTAGACGTTACATGTCTTGACATGGACGCGGCATGCATGACAATTACAAATTTTTTGTGAAGATATAAGAGAACAATTCTTGTGGTACAAACAATGACAAATTATGGTAACGCTATGCTTAGCAATCGTTTAGTTAATAAAAGAAGAGAAAGTATGCTAAGTATGTGCATCCAGATTGCTTTTTGGGCAGATGAGAGATCGTGCACAAGATTATCATTTGTTCGTCGGGTTTATAGGGTACCGGCTTTTCTAGTCATTTGTGACATTAGTCTGCATTGAAGTCCATGCCTAAATTACATGCTAAACAAATTAGCATTAACATTTCTTTGGTTAGGTCTCTGAATGTCTAATTGAGATGCACTTTTTAAAGGATCCAAGAATACTCAAGAGACACAGGTTAGCCCTGTGTGATAGATCTGTAAGATGAGAAACACAATTGCTGAATCCTGGCTAGCGTGAAAAATTATTACCAGCGGGTTGCCCGTAAGGCTAGTTAGACAAGCCGATGTACAGCAGTGATTATGACATTTCCTGCAGACTATAAACATGCTAGACCTTGCTAAATAAAACAGTACAGTTATGCTTAATTATGCATAGGTTTGAAACATGCATTTTGTATACCAGTGACTAATCTGAGTAGAAAAGACACAGAGTAGGTATAGCATTAAGGTTCAATATTCCCACTGTGGATAGGTGGTGTGTCTCAACTTATTGGGGAAACTTAGGCGTGATGAGCGTGTTGAGTGTGGCGGGTGGTTGGCTACGCAAGTGTTATGGTTCTGTCTGTGTGCAGGGAGTCATGTGTTAATCACGGACATTAGCGTCTTGTGTGGGCTGCAGTAAGTGGTGTGTGGCTGCGGGGTCATAGGGGATATAGCTTACGTTAGCTGGGTATCAACCTGGGTACTAATAATTACCAAACGGTAAGACAAAGGGCAACAACAGTCCGGTACTCAGTTGTGCATGACCCCTTCGTCCGTTATAGCCCGGGTCTCTGGTATGCGGGTCCAGAGAGCGTCCGTTAGAGTTGTGAGGGTGGTCGGCAGGGGTAGGAGGTTCAGCAACAGTTAGGGAGCGCCAGTCTCGGAGGGCCAGAGAATCAGCCGATGCCACTAATAGGCCACTTCATGCAGTCTCTGTTCAGGTCGGCTATGGAATGGGCGAGGTGGATTGAGCCTCTGAGGGCTCCCGGTCCCTCTGCTGAGTGAAGATGCGGTGAGGAAGCTCCCTGATCCCAGGCCCGTGCTGAGGTCCGCTTCTCTGCATTGCTGGCTGGGGACCTGGCATAGTCTAAGTCCTTCCCCACAAGGGGAGAGCGGGGTCGGGTCGAGGTCTTACATCGCCGTGTGAGTAATTTGCTCCACTTGCGTGGTCGCTGCCGGGGTGCCGGTCTTTTGGTGACTCCCCACCCAGGAAGGTGGTTGTCGCTTGTGGCGGGTGCTGGACGCTGTTGGGCGCTGTTTTGTGATCTGCGGCCATTTTGTGTTTCCTGCCTCGGGTCAATCCCATTTGGGATTTGCAGCTCTTGCCGCCACATTCGCCCAGAAGGTCTCCAGAATAGCATCAAGCTTTGATGCTAGGCTTTCCTGGGACACCGGTCTGCAGTGAGTGATTATTATTTGTTTGGCTGTGCCAGGGGAGTGTGTCCGTCGTCTTGTGCATCGACTTACACTCTGTGGTTTCGATGTGTGGTCTGCCAGGAGCCATCCACTCCGTAGGCAGTGGAGTGTGGACCGGGATGTCCCCCTGGCCCGGGGGGGGGGGGGAACGGGACTCTGTGTGGTCCTACTGGGGGAAGAGACGAGGGTTGGGAAATCGGCCGCTTCTCCCGCTCGGGGCCCCCTCCAGGCCTCAACCACTCTGCAAAGTTTTTGGCGGTCGGCATCCCAGTTTTTTGGACCGGGACGCTACATTCATCGTCTGCCACAGATAAGTCCCTTTGTGGGTCAGGTTGTGAGCGGCAGGAGTCGTGATACAATGCTTGGTCAGGTAGTTTGCTAGGGAGCTCCTGAAAGTTGCAACCGTCCGCCATGCTGGTCAGGCCCCGCCCCCATCAATGTACTTTTTGTACAAGCAGCCACACAAAGATCATTGCGTATACTACAACATAGAAATATCAATATGTACAGCCAGCTTGTATTTTTAACTTTGTGGTTAAACACAGATAGAACATCTCCTTCAATAAACAAAGGAAATCCAAAAGAGAAAAAAATAAAAATAAGCAAAAAAGACAAATAGGGAGGCAGGAAAAGAGGGGGAGGGAAGGAGGGAAGGAGGGAAGGAGGGAGGGAGGGAGGGAGGGAGGGAGTGGGCTACCACTGAGGAAAGATCATATATACTTTATTATCCCATTTAGGTGACACTATTGGTGCCTTCTTCCCATAATGCTTATGTTTTTTGAAAGGATGGTAGTGAGTTTCATACTTGTGCTGTTAATATGTCCATAAAATAATTTACTTTTATTTATGTATCACCATGTCCATCCTGGGGGGGGGGGAGGTTATATTTTAACCAATGTTGAGCAAGAGCCCTCTGAGCTGCTAGCGTAATCCTGCTTAAAGTTTATTTTTGTGAGTAGTGAAACCGTCAGGGGGTGTCATGATTCTGCGCAGGTCACACAGGAGACTTATGCCGGGGTTTATTTCAGGTAGTTTAGTTGATTTTTCAGGCATGGTTCAGACAAAGGTAACAATATGAATAACAAGATAAACAGAGAAAAGGAATAATAAAGATAAAGGGGGAAAACAGAATTACAGGTGAGTAACTAGAAGGTGAAATAACAGAGGTTTAGGCAATTTGCCCCAAAACAGGAATACAGTAAATGGGAAAACAATTAATAAAAATTAAACAGGAATATAAAGGAATAAAGTATAGCAGGTTAAAGCAAAGTAATGGAGATGATCAGCCTCTTTGAATTATAAACAAAACTGTAGATTCAGGGTGTTTGTGGATACTTGCAAATAATAATGTCCATAATATCCATGCAGGTTGGGAGGAAAAACAATATGAAACCAAAGTCCAGTTTAGAAATAAAGCAGGGTAGAATTGGATGAATCAAGATAGTTGAAGGTAAGTAAGCTTGGAGCAGGATGTCAGGATTCAGTTGAGTTAGGTACAGGTCTTTATCAGGTTATAACAAATCTCAGTAAGAGCCAGGAGCAGAACACAACTTCTCTCTCAATGTAAAGAACCTGTTGTGAGCAGGGTGTAGCCTTATGAAGCCTCTTCATTAGTCCAGGCAGGTGAGGATGATAAGGTGATTGATGAGACTAGAGGCGAGAAACAGGTGTTGCATTAAATAATAACAGAAGAAAATGAAACATGTTCCTGGTTGTCATGATAGATCCTGACACAATCCCCTCCTTCAAGAGCGAATTCCAAATGCAAAGGTCTTTGGTAAAATGGAAAGAATTCCAAAATGAAGTAATGTACAGACCACAATAAACAGAAATCAAAATCATTATTTCCTTCTCCTGTGTTTTTTCTTCTTTTCTTTGTCTTTATTTTGTATTATAGAGATGGGGGTCATTATTTTTCTTTATCCTTAGTGTAGAGATGGGTTCGTTAATTTTCTTCATTAACCCTGATTTGAGTGTCAGAGGTATAGAAGGTTTTTGCAAGGTAGGTATTTCTTTACCTAATGTTTCAGGTTGTAAAGAAGAGGATGCTGACACTTGACTGGAGGTGTCCTCAGGAGGGTTAGCTTCCACATACCTCATAGCATCCAGATAGCTTTCATGGAGGTAGAGTTCCTTAATAGGCACAATAGTACCATCGCTGGCTTTTACAAGACCAGGGATACCGAATGGAGGTTTTGCCATATTCTTCTTCTTTACAGATTGGATGATTGAAGTAGTAGCCATAACAGCCACCCTAGTTTCTTCCTTCAATAGTTCTTCTCCAGTTTCTTCCCTGTCAGAGGGTAATTCATCATTTACGTAATTTTCATCTACCAGGTAAGATGATAGGGAGTTGTCTGAAGAGTAATGGGTAGGTATATGAGTTTTCTGGGGAACAGATATGCGGTCTTTATAAACAGAAATGTTTGTTTCTGTGGTCTGTATCTGAGGTTCAATGGTTACAGTAGGTTTATGAGGTTTTCTTGGACATAATGAGATTCTGTGCCCTTTTTCACCACAATAAAAGCATGCATCCTCTTGTCGTCTCTTTTAAGTAATCAGTAGATCATCTCCGTATGCCCATAATGTGAAGAAAATCCAGAAATCCCTGGATAAGTACAGATGAGATGCAAAAACAATTGCTTTAATGTTAATGAAAACAATACAGGTGACAAGGCTTTTTCCATTCCCTATTTTGAACAGAATAATAATATTTGGGCTCTCATATTAGCATATAATGCTCACAGTGCTGTAACTTATGTCAGGGGAAAAGATCAATTAGGAGCTTGAACAGGAAAGGCCACTCAATCCAGCTGTATGTCTTCTCCACATACAAAGAGAGGACCAGATACAGCATCCCATAGTCTACAAGGCACCACACTAGGTCAATATTTTGACTATTCTCATAGAGTTGTCTTCCCGGGAAAAAACAACTTGATTATGGTGGACTAACATGGTAAGCAATAGGCTGAGGCTTTCTGCCAATATTTTTGCAAGAATTTGTACGTCAAAATTAATTAATGAAATGGGTCTGTAGTTAGTCACTTTGGTATTTTCATGCCCTGTTTGGAGGATTAATTTTATATTGGCTAGGGATATGTCAGGATTAGGAATCCGTCTTTCATAAAGTCATTAAAGAGCAGTTCCAGGGGGGAAAGTGGGTCATCTCTAAATGTCTTGGAATAGTTACATAGTTACATAGCTGAAAAGAGACTTGCGTCCATCAAGTTCAGCCTACCTCACATTTGTTTTTTGCTGTTGATCCAAAAGAAGGCAAAAAAACCAATTTGAAGCACAATTTTGCAACAAGCTAGGAAAAAAAATTCCTTCTTGACCCCAGATTGGCAGTCAGATTTATCCTTGGATCAAGCAGTTATTACCCTACATTGAAAGATTATATCCTTGAATATTCTGTTCTTGCAAGTATGCATCTAGTAGCTGTTTGAACATCTGTATGGACTCTGATAAAACCACTTCTTCAGGCAAAGAATTCCACATCCTGATTGTTCTTACAGTAAAAAAAACCTTTCCTTTGCCTTAGACGAAATCTTCTTTCTTCCAGTCTAAACGCATGGCCTCGTGTCCTATGTAAAGTCAGGTTTGTGAATAGATTTCTACACAATAGTTTGTATTGGCCCCGAATATGTTTGTATAATGTTATCATATCCCCTTTCAGGCGACGTTTTTCTAAACTAAATAGGTTTCAATTTGTTAACCTTTCTTCATAGCGGATATGTTCCATTCCTTTTATTAATTTTGTAGCCCGCCTCTGCACTTTTTCTAGTGCCATAATATCCTTCTTTAGAACAGGTGCCCAAAATTGCACAGCATATTCAATATTGGGTCTTACCAGTGATTTATAAAGAGGCAAAATTATATTCTTGTCCCGAGAATGAATGCCCTTTTTCATGCATGACAATACCTTACTGGCCTTGGCCACTGCTGATTGACATTGCACATTGTTGCATAGTTTGTTGTCTATAACAATTCCCAAGTCCTTTTCATGTGTTGTTATCCCTAATTCGCTTCCATTAAGGGTATACAATACTTGTGTATTCTGTACGCCGAAGTGCATAACTTTGCATTTTTCAACATTAAATTTCATCTGCCATTTGAGTGCCCAGTCCCCCAGTCTATCTAAATCCCTCTGCAGAAAAGTAATATCTTGCTCACATTGTATTGTTTTACAAAGTTTTGTGTCATCTGCAAACACTGAAACATGACTTTCAATGCGGTCTTCAAGATCATTTATAAACATGTTAAATAGAAGGGGTCCCAGAACAGACCCCTGAGGGACACCACTTGCCACCTCTGTCCAGCTTGAAAATTTACCATTAATGACAACTCTTTGTACTCTGTTTTTAAGCCAATGTTCTACCCAAGAACAAGCATTTTCATCTAGACCGATTTCCTTGAGTTTGAACACTAATCTATTGTGTGGAACTGTATCAAATGCCTTGGCAAAATCCAAATAGATCACATCCACTGCAACACCCTGATCTATACTTCTACTTACTTCTTCGTAGAATGCAATCAAGTTAGTTTGACATGACCTGTGCTTCATAAAACCGTGCTGATTTTTGCTGATAACCATGTTTAGCTCCCATCAAATCATTCAGGGCCGCAAGCCTTATTCCCTTTAATGCAGATATGGACTGCTGTATCTCTTCCTTTGTAACTGGTATCTCATAATGTCAATATTACTAGTAGTCAGTTGGGGACGTGTCAGTGACTGGAGATATCCTATGATTTGTTCAGCATTTCCCTTATTTGCTTCAGTATGCTAAGGACTGTCGTTATATGGGGAGGTGAAAAAGTTGGTAAATACCTAACTGATTACATCGGGAGAAGACATCACTATGTTTTTTCATTTCTAATAGCTTTGATGGGTTTAATGGGTCTCGCTAGCATGGTGTCCATTTTACTACTACTTCATTAAGTGAAGTTTCCCTAATTGAATGCCTAATGTTTTATAGTTATTTTAGCTTTTTGTGTTGGGTTTTCCTTATGTTGCTGTTCTGTGTTACTTAAGGCTTGTTGTAGTTCAAGAATACATTTTTTTTCCATGTTGCTATTTTAATGAACCACAAATGTTTCTTTTAGTTAGCAGGGATCTTTGCCTTGCAATTCTCCCATGTTTGCCAAGTGTTTTTATTATAGTCAAATGAAGAATGCTGAATCTATGGCCAAGGCTAGAGAGGCCTACAGTTCCTTACATTATTATTGTGGGTGCTTTTGATTTAACTTGATGAATGATGATGTGTAGCTAAGGATTTTTAGCTACACATTTTGACGCCCCTTCCCCATAAAAAAAAAATGTGTCTTCACCTATGTCTCTCGTAACCCCCCTTTTGAGTTTGTTATCCTCTTTATTGTATTTTATCCCCCTTTACTATGTCTTACACCCACTTGTGTGTCTCTTACAACCCCCCTTGTGTATCTCAGCCCCTTTGTGTGTCTGTTTTTGTCCCTCCCAGGGGCTGAGAGGGGTGGACAGGGGCTGTTGAGGGGGGGGAGGGGGCGAATCAGGTTACATGGGCTGAGAGGGGGAACAGGGGCAGTGGTGAGGGACGCAGGCCTTGAGAAGGTGACACAGGTGCTGAAAGGGGGACACAGGAGCTGTTGAGTGGGGAACAGGAGCAGGTTAGGGGGATGCAGTAGATGTAGAGCGGGGGCTGGAGCTGGGGACAGGTGCTGGTGATGGGGGGGGCAGAAGCTGGAGTGGGGGCTGTGGTGAGGAGGGGGACACAGGGACTGAGAGAGGGGGCACAGGAGCTCTAAAGGGTGATAGGAGCTGTGGCTATGGGGCTGGACAGGGGCTGCCAAACAAAAATTGGATTACCAAAAAAAACAAATCCCCCCTCCCTGAGGCTTACCTTTGGCCAGTGAGGGGTGAGAGCAGAGCGGGAGCCTACAGCATGCAGCAATTGAAGTCGGCCGGCCTCCCCTCATGAAGTCAGGAGGAGGAGGCATGACTTACTGCTCTTCTCCCATCCGCTGGGGAGTCTGGGAAAAGAGCAGATGAAGTCACGCCCCCTCCGCCTGACATCATCAGGAAGGCTGGCCGACTTCAATTGCTGCTATGTTGTGGCTGCATGGAGAGTGAAGTAATTTGAAAAATCCGAATCCCCAGCCAGAGGCAGGGGATTCGGATTTTTTGCGCCCCCTCGCTCTGGTGCCCTAAGGCGGTTGCCTGAACCGCCTTATGGACGCGCCGGCCCAGTCTCTCTCCGAAGCCCTTGTCTGTCTCTTTTGCCCCTTCCACAGCCCCTCTGTGCAGTGTTATTTTGGCGGCAAATTTCAACTTAGTTTTAGTCATAGTCTTTTGACTAAAAAGCCGTTTTAGTTGTATCTTAGTCATCTGAGTTGTTTTAATTTTAGTCAACTAAATCTCAAAAATTGTAGTCGATTAAAATCTGACTAAAATTGTTAGTCGACAAAATTAACACTGGTGTGCATACCTTTCTTAAGGAAGTCTTTCTGGCATGAGGCATGTGAAGAAGACAGGATTGTGGTGCAGCATTCTGCAAAACATGTATTTATTTTGTGCAAAAAGTATAAGGATTTGAGTATGCAAAAAAAAAAAAAACACAATACAGCATATTAACAAGACTAAAATCTATCAAATGCATTTAAGTTGTATTGGTGCACAGAGTTTCCTTTTAAAATCAAATTGGGAAGGATATTTCCAAGTGATCCAGTTTTAGTTCATCTGTTCCTTTCAGCAAAGTAATTGCTTTAAGTGCATTGAATTATTTTGGTGATTAACTATTTGACATAATTTTCATGTACCACTTCCAAAAAGGCTCCATTCTATTCTCCATTCTGATAGCCTTGGTTTTGGGCTCTACGTTTTTACAGATGTTTTTTGCTGTGCAGGCTGAAGATACTCCAAAGGACACTGTTATTTTTCTGAATTCCAGATAATGCTTGCTTGACCACACTGTGAAAGTTGGCTTTAATTATCTATTTAATACTTTATTTCTTACATTTACATAAATGTGAAAGAGAAAAAGAAAATACATAGCATTACTCACTAAATTGTAAATAGTTGGAAAGTCACCAAGGAATTAAAATTTTAAAGCCAAAATAGTTAAGCTAAGCTAAAAACATAGTTGACTTTTTTCCCAGTTAGGCTATTTGGCCAAAACTCTGCACATGCTAGAACATTGAAAGCTAAATGGCACATTTTAGGTTCTACTAAGCGCTTGCTCTGCTAACACTCTTCATGAGTACTAGATATTGCTAAAATTAGTTTTGGCCAATTCATCCGAATCAAAAACTTTTGAATCTATACCCAAATTAATGAATTTGTCCCGGATTAACTTGTGAATTCTTAATCAATAAATAAGACTGCACAGGTAAATCCTGAGAATCGATACATTTGGGTGTGAATTAAAAGGATTTT